TATCGTAGAATAGAATACTTATTTATAGTACATTTAATAATACAATAACAAGGAACTATCCTATAATATAACTGTATTACATAGGGTTTGTTAACACTAAAAAGCTATTTCATATAAATCACTTTTCTAACCAATCTTTTCTAACCAATATAAAGATTAACCAGAGAAATGAAAAAAATATAAAAAAAAGGCAATGGGACATGCTTTTCCACTAGTTATCAGGGAAATGAGACCGTTACGGTATAATTTGAATATTTGAAAGCAAATGGAATTCTTTAGATTTTCGGGCAGTGATCCCTGGCACCATCAGGCGTCGCGATAAAAATAATGAATCCCTCTTCAGTGATGATTATTTCTTCACCTATTCTCTCCCTCTCTTTCTTTTTTCTTATATATACATACATACATATATATTTGTGTATGTATGTATATATATATACATACATACATACATAGATGGCTAGATGACATTAAAAGAGTTGGAAATATTAATAAAGAAATTACTTTGCTACTAAGATACCCGGCTGACGACTGTATAATCATTAGGCAGAATAGATGTGAAATGTTTTTGCACTGGTGAAAATAATATATTTGCCGAATTAAAAAAAAAAATATATATATATATATGCTCATATTGCATGTATGTATTTCATCCAACTTGCAAAATCATAGAAAGGCTTCGCAAGGGATCTAGCTACGCCCCTGTACATGCACACACACACACACACACACACACACACACACACACACACACACACACACACACACACACACACACACACACACACACACACGCACACATACACACACACACACACACACACACGCACACATACACACACACACACGCACACATACACACGCACACATACACACACACACACACACACACACACACACACACGCACACATACACACACACACACGCGCGCGCGCGCGCATATATACACATATACACATATATATACATACATATATATACATACATATATATATATACATATATATATACATATATATATATATATACATATATATATACATATATATATATATATACATATATATATACATATATATATACATATATATATACATATATATACACATATATATATACATATATATATATATATATATATATATATATATATATATATATATATATATATATATATATATATATTATACATATATATTTATATATATACATATATATTATATATCATATTATATATACATAATTTATATATAATTTATATATGATATATATAATGTATATAATATATATACTATATATACTATACATAATATACATACATACATATAACATTATATATATATATACATACATACATAATATATAATATAATATTTATCTATAAATTATGTATTATATAAATATAAGAAATATAAGATATATACATATATATAAATGCTATATATAACATTATATATGTAAAAACATTATATATATATATATATATATATATATATATATATATATATATATATATATATATATATATGTATGTAAGTATATATAATATAACATAATATAATATAACATACATATTTATATAATATATATATATATAACATTATATATATATATATATATATATATATATATATATATATATATATATACATATATATATATATATATATAATACAACATAGCTTTTATATATATAAGGGAAATTCCTTGATTACGACCCACAATGTAATACACTGAAGAGCATTGCAACATAAGCGTTCATGTGACTTCGAACGGACCGGTTGCGCCAGACCGCTACGCCAGCCTATATTTATTTAATCTCATATATGTCATAACCTCGGCCCGACCTATTTTAAACCTCACATATCTTACGTACGGACTGACCCGGCCCTTGGAGCCCATAGCCAGAGAGGCGACACTTGCCTGTCCCACCAACGAGTCGGGCATTTAATAACCCACGTAAAGGAAGTGTCTGTGCGGGTGATAATGCAATTACAGGTCGGGAGACGAGCCACGCTGGCCGGGTGCTTTGTCCGGCTTCTCTGTCGCGTTTCGCCCCGCGGCTCTCGTGCGGTGCTTCGTCTCGCACGCCCACGCGCCCACACACCCATGCGCCCACACGCCCGCACGCCCGCACGCCTGCATTTGCACATCCGCAGTGGTCGGAAGGGAGTAGCAGGGGAAGCGTTTGTGTGTTAGCGGGTATTTGTGTGTTTGCGACAGAGACGGAGAGAAAGACAGAGAGACATAACATGCAAATGTGTGTGTGTGTGTGTGTGTGTGTGTGTGTGTGTGTGTGTGTGTGTGTGTGTGTGTGTGTGTGTGTGTGTGTGTGTGTGTGTGTGTGTGTGTGTGTGTGTGTGTGTGTGCGTGAATATTTATGCATATATTTATGTATGTATATTTTTATGTATATGTATATGTGTGTATATACGTATATCTGAATTGTATGTATATGTGCATATTTCTCTCTCTCTCTCCCTCTCTCTCTCTCTCTCTCTCTCTCTCTCTCTCTCTCTCTCTCTCTCTCTCTCTCTCTCTCTCTCTCTCTCTCTAACTGTGTGAGTGTAAGTGTGAGTGAGCGTGTGCGTGTGCGTGTGCGTGTGCGTGTGCGTGTGTGTGTGCGCGTGTGTGCATGCGTGTGTGTGTTTATACATATAAATATAAACACACACACACACACACACATATACATACATACTTATTTCCTTATCATTTTTTCTGTTTCTTGATTCAAGCACAACTAACCAGACAGACGTGCAGAGCATAACAAAAGAGCGGCTTCTGCTTGCAAGCCGTGATCACAAAGCTAATTCCGGCTATGTCAACACCACCGCCATAACGTTCTTATTCTTTCCTATGTCTTCTTCAACTCGCGCGGCTCCCGACTCTTCATATGCAGATTGATGAATAAATTGTCACAGCTGCTTTAAGCTTCCTATACAGATCAGGTTTAGAATTTAATCCTACTTTCGGAACAAAACGAAATATTATTCACATGACATAAACTATCTATTCCATGCGGCTGGAATCTCGGTCTGATCTTTATTGCTGTTACTTCAAAATACAACCTATTAGACAAAACACATTGAACTACCTAATTTATAGTAAAAAATCGGACTGGTACTTTCTTAAAAACCATTATGCTAAATACAATGGTACTTAAAATATTCATAATATCGACTTCCCTCTTGACCTGATATCTACGTACTTCTATGTACTGTTACTATAGACGATGCTGTTACATGTACATCATAACTATACTTTCGAATCTACTGTTTTTTTTGTCATTATTCCATTGTGTATCCCGTTTTTAGCATAAGCTGTAATAAAATTATATTCATTTCCTCGTTTTCTTTTTCTTGCATTTATTTGCGGATTTTGCATTCTTTCATAGAAATGTAAAATCAGTACTGTATCAACTTTTCGACATCAGAATATGCTATATTCAGAATATGCTATATTCTGATGTCGAAGCCAGACGCATTATTTTGATCTAAAATGATAGTAAATAAAATATGAATAGAGATAACTAATAATCCGCACTAATAATAAGACGAATG